GGCACTGGATGGGCTTTAAGGTCCCTTCCAACCCAAACCATCCTGTGATTCTGTGATGCTTCTGGAGGCCAGCAAACCCCCCAGGGGAGATAATCTGAGCTGGTGAGACCCTGACAGCTGCGAGCCATTGCTCTGGCTGCTGCCTGATTGCTTTTGGGACTCAAGCCACGCTTCCAGAGAGAGCCACAGGCACACAAGGTGGGGGGACAGTCAAAGCCCCCCTTGCTGCAAGCAACATGAGAAATAAGCCACCCAGCAGGAGCTGGGGCCAGGCACGAGATGGTGGTTGCAGAACCATGACTGCAAGCGGTGTTGCTTTGTGTTGCGCTGCAGGAAGGACAAAACCACGGGTTATTACCCCTCCATGTACCTGCAGAAAGCCGGGGAGGAGAACACCCCCGTGAAGAGCGAGCTGAGGAACCGGAGTGCTCCGCCGCGGAGGTAGGAGAAGCCTGGGGCTGGGGAAGGAGGATGAAAGCTCTTCTTCAAGAGGGGTGAAATGAAACCAGACAGTGGTCTGGGGTGTCCCGTGCTCGCCCGAGCAATGAGGAACTGCCCAGGAGGGATGGGCGTGGGCCAAGGACAGAGCAGGAGGCAGATCCTGCGGGGCTGCAGCAAAAATAGCGCTGTGCTCCCCGACATCCGCGGCGGAGAGGAACCCCAGCAGTTCTGCTGCAGAGCTGCACGATCCTCGCTCCAGCAGCTCCTTGTGCTTCTCCTTGTCCCTCTGCAAAGTTTCTTTTCTGGGCTAATCTTGTTTCGTTTCCAAATTGGCCTTTTTCTTGCTTCCTTCGTGCATCCACTGACTCTCTGAGAAGCGAGGAGAGATTTGAGTGATTAGAGCTGCCAAACGGCCTGATCTGATGGGAGGATTTGAGCTAATGGAAGGGATTCTATTTTGATGAAAAAGATAAAAAGCAATAATAACTCATTAATTCTGATGCAAAGAAAACTGCTAGGAGGAGCAGAGCTTGCCTCTATCTTTCCTCCCCTACAAGAAAACACGGCAGCCTTGCTATAAAATCTCTCTGAAATCCAGCTCTGTTGGAGTGTGAGCCAATGAAAAATGGCCCAGATCCACCTGTTTGAGCTCAGTGAAGCTTCCTGATGCCCTTGGGGCCGGCAAGGGGACGTGTTTCAAAGACAGGGACTCGCCCCCCATGGGGGATGCTGTCCCCGTGGTGCTGGTGATGGCAGCCAGGCTGCTGCAGAGGTGGTGACCCGCTGCTGTGGTCGAGAGCTTTGCTACGAAATGGGGTGTGTGCACAGCAGAGTAGGCAGATGGGCGCGTTGCCTTGAGCAGAGCAGGACAGTGCCATGGGATGAATGTCAGGAGCCACGCCGCTCACGCCCTGGTAGTGAAGACAAAGCGGTGGTCTCCGTCTGCCTGCCTGGGGACGGTCCCCGGCACTGGGGGTTCCCCTGTGGCATCACGCCGCCGCACAGCCCCAGGCTGCTCAGCCTTTCACTTCTCTCGGTAGTTTCTCTCCTGTGGGTTCAACGCCACACACCCAGGTGCACATCGACACGTACCCACGCTGTTCCCCGGCCCAGAGACGGAGCCTGGGGCGTTGGGGAGCCATGCCAGACCCGCACCAGGGATCTCAGGGGTGCAGACGCTCTATGTTCATCCATCCAAGAGCCAGAGATCACTTCCAGGGCTTGCTTGAGCTCTGTTGGATGAACCTCAGGCCCATCTCATCCTTCCAGCCTTACTCCTGACCTGCCTTGCCATCCCCATTGTTACTTTCCAGGCTTGTGCTTGGGCTTCACCCTTCAGTATTTGCTCCCCAAGCAGCATTCTAGCTGCCTCTGGGCAGGCTGTACATCGCGTCTCACCTACGGCCACCCTCGAGGGCTGGCATCGCCCGCTGCCTGCCACTGGGCAGCCCAAAGGGCAGATGTTGGGGTCTGGGTGAGGCAGAGGAGGAAGCGTGGGGTCTGGGTGCAGCAGGGCTGGGGAAATCCTCAGCGAGCATGTGCAAGGTGTGAGAGCTGCTGGCACAGAAACTGAAAGTTCTGTTTGTGACCCACTGCAGATCCACCATCCGGAACGCGAAGAGCATCCACAAGCAGAGCCGGAAGCAGATCAGCCAGGAGACCTACAGGAGGAACAGCAAGAAGTACATCCAGAGCCGGAGGAACATGAGGGGAAAATTCCAGAACAAGGCCAATGTCATCGGTAAGTGTCAGCAGGGACAGACCCCCGGGGGGGGTCTATGGGAAAGCACGCGCAGGAAGATGTTCCTACCTCTGGCTGTAGGTCTGATAGAGAAGGAGCAGAACATGGTCCTGGTGGGAGGTCAGCCCCCGTTTAGGACGTGTGCCTTCCTCTGTGCACCTGACCTCCCCCGGGCTGCTGTCACCGTTGCCATCACGGCGTACGCTGGCTGGCAGGGAAAGGGTGGTGGTGCAGAAAGGAGGAGGCTGCTATGGAGGTAGATGCTTTAGACCTGGTCATCCCTGTGCGGGATCCATGACCTGCCCCAGGGAGAGCCGCTTCTTGCACGGACCCAGCGCTGGTCTCCCAGCTGAGCAGAGCTCCCAGCTGGGAACTGGTGGGCTTCTGCCACCACCTTCACCTCCGGGAGACCACCCCAGGCGGCTGAGACAGGAGGAGAGGCAGGGGCTCTGGTGGCCATTGCGTAGGAAGCTTTTGAACATTTGCGGGGAGGTGTTGGGTGGTGGAGAGCCCTGACCCATCTGTATTCCTGCTTTACCTGCAGCTGAGAAAAACGAGCAAGAGGAGAACAAGCCCAGAGCTCAGCCTGCCGTTCCTCCCCGTCCCAGCAAAGACCTCATCCTGA